AAAGAAGAATTGCCAAAACTTTAGTGGAGCCATCTGTATGAGTATTCCTCCACCCAATTTGGAATGAGCTACTTGAGAACCGTATCCACTCTTCCATACCCACATTCTCCAAAGGCTTTCTGATACATATGGGTGTTGGAAAGAGAGGCAGAAAGGTTTGTTACAGTTTTAAATCCAACCTATTGATTTTGGGTGGCAAGCCATATGCACACATACATAAAATCAAAATGAAAATGTGAAAGCTACAGGAAAATGGAATTCCTGTAGGAATAGGAATCCATTTCAATATGCTCATTATATTACTGTCTTTTGGGGCATGCAATATTTTGCAAAAAAGAAAAGAGTAAGAAATAGTAAACAAAACCCCCATGTTATCAGAAAAGAAAAGGAAATCAAGTTTACATCAATACCATTAACTGTACCGCTCCATACTTTTTGATCCTTGTCAACCACTCTTGTTTCCATCACTTCCCTTTCACCACTTCATATTTTATCTTTAGTCCTGATGTCTCTCTTCTTGAAGAATTCTTTAAAAGACAAGGAAACCACAACTTTCCCTGTCTTTTCCTTCATCCATTCACTCTTCACTTGCAATTGTTCATTCTCTCAATATCACCAAACTACCGCAACATACTTCTTTCATATTGGTAATTCACTTTTGTATTAAATCCACATTAATTCATTACCCATTTATTCTTGATTCTATACCTTCTTGTTTTACCATACACATTTCTGAATAACCCAACCCTATTTCATTCAATCTACTTCTTTTCCTTTGACATCCCCAACTCCCATCTCCATATGACAAAGTAGGAAGAAGGACGGTCTCATACACAGCTATTTTTGTTTCTTTCAACAAAGATTCTTTCCTTGTGGCAGATTATATAGTCACCATAATCTTTTTACCAGCATATGCACAATATTCTTCTGTTTTCCCCCTCTCTTGGAAATGTTCTATCAATGTTCTATCACATTCATTTACTTCCTCTACTTTTTTCTGATTATGTATAAATTGCAATTGCTCTCTCTACTTTCTGTGTCATTATTAATTTGGTATTTGATGCATTAAATCAAATCAAATCTTTGTTATGGTCAAAGACCAGCATAAATGCATTAATTTTCAGATCATACTCCTCATTGCATCTACCATTCATAATATCAGGTTCTCAGCAAACCAGACAGCATCATCTGCAAATAAAACTAAATGCGCTATCACGCTCCCAACCAGCACTCTTATAATGTTGCCACATTAAGCCATTAAGCAATCAAGGGGACATCACTCATATTGAACTGCTCATACATTCCTCCTATTCTCATGCATGCTTTACTTCCATTATATACTGCTATTACTGCCTTTTGCAACCAACCGTCAAGGCCATATTTGTTGAAAGCAGTCCATAATTCAAGTCCATAGTTGAAAACAGTCCATATTTCCAATGTATAGTCAACTTTCTTCCTCTCAGATAATTTCTCAATGATCTGCTGCTGAAGAGCAAAAATCTAGTCTGAAAACTCCCTATCTGGCAAAAAGCTATACTGCACAAATTTTGCTTCAAGTTGCAATTTTCCATACACCATTTTTGTCACCAGATTGGCCCAAAGGTATTGACTTCTACTTCCTGTCATGGCTTTGGTCAATGAAGGATTTCATCTAACACGTTTAGTAAGACAGAGAAAGTACAGACCAAGGGCTCTTCCACACAGCAGCAGTGTTAAATTGCTTGACTCCTGAGCTGGAACTGGCTGGAAATGAAACTAACTTCAGAAATTTCAGCCTGAATTTCAGTCCATTTTTCAGCTTTGGCAATGATGCCAGCCAGATATTCTGTCTGGATAATGGTTACCACAGCCTCTGATTGGTGGATTTTTTTTACCCTACCCCACCATGCCTGAGAAAGAGTGTGATTTCTGTCCTTCCCATTTGGCACATGCACTACAAGACTGGTGGAAAAAACAACAAATCCATTTTACCTTTCTTCCTATCACTTGGACTTGAAGAAGGTGACTGGCAGAATCTCATCTTTAAAAAGTCCGTATTTCTTTCATTGGTCTACTTGTAAACTTATATAAAAAAATTAGTTTTACCAATCCATTGAGGGAAAGGGTGGTAGAGGTCCAGTGGTTTCTCCAGTCATCTCTTACCAGCCATCACTTGCCCTAACCATTGGTACCCCAATTGCATGTGTAAATAGGAAGCATTGAACTGGTACTTCACTGCATCAGTTATTAGAAATATAACGAGAACCTATGTAATGCCTGAGATCAGCACTGTAGAGTGCAAAGGACAGATTCAGGCGTTATATGGGTATGTTCCCCTCCTTGGATTCAGACTTCCCCAAAATGGCTAGGAATGGCAGCAACCAGTGATCAGAGAGGTCTGTATAGTGACCAATAGGAGGACATACATTGCCTGAATCAAATTCAAGCACAACAGAAAAACTGCATGGGTGGGTTCATGTCAGTGCCAGTCAAAAGCCCCACTTTTGAAGGAGTGAAGAAAAGCACAATTGCAGGCAAGCCCAGAATGACATCATCCACCTATCATCATCATCATCATCATCATCATCAGATAGGGGCAAGCCCAGAGTGATATCGTCCATTCAAGCCCTCTCAGTGTGACTACCCTTTTGCTCTTAGCAGGTCATGAAGAAGAGCCCCAGGTTACCAGCTTTAGTTAGGCCAGTTGTGACACTCCTTCCTGACAGAGGGTGGGAAAAGAGGACAGGAACTTTTCAGACATGCAGTTTTTCTCTATTTACAGTGATCTTTAATATGTACAATAGCCTTAGCTTAACAAACTATAGACTTCTATATATTGCAGCTATATTTCAAATACTGTTGCCCACATTCCACCAGCTAGGAGATACACACCATGTAGTGACAGAACCTCATAATTCACAGGTCTTTTTGTTGAGCAGCTAAGAAGGATGTCTATAAACGTGACAATTCAGAAAGGAAATAACATATTGCAGTCATTAACCAGCACAATGTGACAATTCAAAATGTAAGCTCCAGAACAAAATGGGGAAATAGCACAACAGTTTTATTTGCTAGGTTTGTTGATCATTGATTTTGAAAATGGTTTTGAGGAGCCAAAATGTTTACCTCAAATATCTACTACTGATTTTTTTCATTGTTTTCTTAAATTTTCTGTTGCTTTTAAACTGTTTTCTCCTTGGCTAAGAAAACAATTCCAGTCAATCAGGAAATACATATTGAATCTTATGACACCTCTGGGAGTAAATAATCTACACCTGAATTGGTCACAAGGAAATCTCAACCAGTTACTGACATGAAGGCAAACAGCTTATTCAGGATAATGCTTCCTGAACACCTGGAAACTTCTAATCCTTTCTTAGAAGTTTCTAAAAATCATTGAATAGTGGGAGCTTTTCAATATTAACAAAAGTATTGTTAAAATTCATGTGCCTCATTTAACACTGGCATACAGGTAGTCCTTGCTGAATGACCACTCATCCAGTAACTGTTCAAACTTATGATGGCGCTGAACGAGGTGTACTTAAAACTGGTCCTCACAGTTGTGGCTGTCGCAGCATCCCCACGGTCACATGATTGCCATTTCCAACCTTCACTGCCAGCTTCCGACAAGCAAAGTCAATGGAGAAGACAGCAGGCGGTTGCAAATGGTGTTGCTTAGCAATGGAGTTCTGGTCCCAATCACTGTCAGTCAGGGAGGACTACCTGTATTACTTTCTCAAAGTGGATTACTCAATTCATATGAAAATATCTAGGTCCTTATCTACTGTCAGGAGAACTAACAACAAGGTGACTATAATCTCTCTCTCTCTCTCTCTCTCTCTCACACACACACACACACACACACACACACATCAAAAAATGACTGCAATAGAAGAAAATAGCTCTGGGTTGAACCTGACTCCAGGTTGAACTGTGGAATTCTTGGTGCTGTCTGAACTGGGTTGTTTGCTTGCAGGCATTTTATTATTAGGTAAAATTATCAGTGCAAATGAGTGTGGGGTTTGTTGTCTATTTATAGTAAGGGTGTGGTTTCCTCTTTGGTGGTTTCTTGATTAGAGTATTGTTTTCTGCCTGATTTGTCTGTCTGGTGTTGATCCCTGCTTCTCCGAGTGTTGGCTGCTGAGGGGATATGTTCTGGTCTATAAACAGGCAGAAAACCCCATACTCACACTGATGGTGTTACCTAGTTAGATAATGAAACACCTGCAAGCAAATAACCAAGCTCAGAGAGCACCAAGAACTCCCAAAAATGACTGGTTTAGCAAATGAAATATAGGCACTGGATAAAACTTGATCTACTAAAACAAATATCTGCCAGTTATATGATGAAAAATCCTTATGCACAGTATTCCTAAATTAGATGTCAACCCAGAGAAGGCCCTTCCCCTTCAGACGCAACTTCAGTATTTGCAACAGACAGAAGAACTTTATTTTTAGCCAACATTCATTTAAATCTTTAATCTGTACATGGATGCATTGAAATAGTTTCTCAATGCAAATCATTCTTACTAGGCCTGTGAAACAGCTTCTAAAGGTCCGGTCTCTCTACTTGAACTATAAGACAAGGAACACATTCAAAACAACAAATATCTTTAGTTCAAGCAAATGAGATTCCACACTGCAGTGGAGACAGAAAAGTCTAGAACTGTTTCTTCAACAACATCTATAGCAGAGCACTGATCCAAACATATAATGCAAATACAGACATGTGTTATAATATACAAAGAGCACATGTAGGCATGTATTTATGATCTTTCTGCTTGAAATATGTCTGAATAAATGTTCCTTTCCTTTCCAGCATGTTGATAACATATGTTTCAAAGAGGTAAACCCTTTATACCTTTAACTATTGGCCTTAAAAAGTGTCCACACCACCACATTACCTGTCCAGACTGAAAAGCAATATGATGTAGAGAATGTTATACTGTACATTGTAGTCATCCATTAAAAAAGGGATAAGTGATATCTGAGGGATGCCATGATCCCCGTTACTGTGACAGCTCTCATTTTGTCCTTAGTTCGGCAATCAGCAAGCACTGGGAGGCGGAACTTGCTACGCTGAAGGGCAACAATGCCAAGCTGACAGCAGCTCTCCTTGAGTCCACTGCCAATGTGAAACAATGGAAACAACAGCTTGCTGCGTATCAAGAGGAAGCAGAACGTCTACACAAACGGGTGAGTTGACACCAATGAAATAGTTATAGCTATGACTTAAGGAAAGGTGGGGCTAAAGTATTATTATTATAATAGGTTATCAGTTTATCTAATGACTAACAAAATTCATCCATACTGAGTTTTATTTGCAGTGCTTGAAATGAAAGACTGTAGAAAATTCAAGTAGGTTCAGGTGCTCTGTCCCCATGCTCGTTTCCATTATTGAAAGAAATGCCTGACTAGTATTATTATGCGCTAATTAATTATCCCAGCATTTTAATACCCATTATTATGAGCAGTCTTTAATGCTGTGTCAGTGGTCCCACAACATGATTAGTGCCAGTGGCAGGGAAGGTATATATTGTGATAACACCAAAAAAAGGATTAATTGATCCAAGGGGGTAAATTGAACCCCAAACAGAACCCAACATCATAGAGTTAAATTAACTATACCTCATGTCATGTCATGGGGACATCTCAACTTAGTAAACTGGCCCAATTTGTATATTAAGCCCCTGAGAAAAAAGAGACAAAGGGAAAGAATGTCTGGACAAGCAAGCCTCTACCGAGCCTGGCAGCACTGAGCATACCTTCCACACACTGATTGGCTGCAGAGCCAAGCCATGCCTACTGCTGATTGCCTGCGAATAGGGAATCAGTCATACCCTCATGGAATTGTGGAATTGGAAGAGTCCACAAGAGTAATTTGTTCCAACCTCCTGCATTTGGCAGAAAAACCAATTAAACTATCCTCAGGAGGTAGCTGCCTCTTCTTAAAAGCCAATAGAAGAGAATAGATGTAGCTCAGGGTTGAACTGTGGAGTCCCTGGGGTTCTCTGAGCTTGGTAGTTTTCTTGCAAACGTTTCATTACCTGGCTAGGTAACATCTTCAGTGCTAGAATGGAGTGGGGTTTGCTCTCTGTTTATACAGTGGCATGCCCTGCCAGTGTTGGTGGAGGTGTTTCCTCCCCAACCCCACGCCTGGTAGTTCCTTGATTAGGGTATTGTTTACTGCTTGATTGAATGTCTGGTGATAATCTTGGTGTTAATCTCTGCTTATCTGGGTGACAATTGCTGGTGAGGAGATGTTCTGGTCTTTTGTTTCCTTCTTAAAAGCCTCCAGGGATGGTAAAATCACCACCTCTGTAAGTAGACTGTTCCACTATTGTATAGATCTTACTGTCAGAAAAAAATCCTTATAGTTAAGCAAAATCAAGACAGCTGCAACTTGTGCCTATTACTTCTGGTCCTAGTTTCTGTAGCAGTGGAGAATAGTTTCTGCCCATCTTCCCTTTGGCACTCTTTTATGTTTCTGAACGTGGGTATCATGTGTTCCCTGATTCTTCTTTTCTCCAGAATGAATCTCCCAAGTTTCTTTAGCCTGTCTTCATAGGGCACATCCTCAAGTCCCTGTATCATCTTTGTTGCTCTGGCTCTGTTCTAATTTGTCGATATCTTTCTAGAAATATGGTGGCTAGAATTGTACACTGAACTCCACATAGGGAATCACCAGTGTAGAGGGGAATAAGGCCCTCATGCAGTTTTAATACAGTGCTTCTTCTAATGCACTCCAGAACTGCATTAATCCTTCCAGTAGCAAATTACCAAAATCAATCATTGAGTCCACACCCTTTCCAATAGAAAACCAAGCTAATATAGTGTGCTATACCATCAAAAAGCTTAGTGCTCCTCAAATAGCAAACCCGTTCAAATCTCCCCCTAAGACTTCACTGTACCTCTTCCTGCAGCTATGGAAAAGAATAATAGGTCCATGAGCTCAATTCCCGGTAGAAGGTTTGAACCTCATAGAATAACATGTGGCTGCTGAGTCCTAGTAGGACAAAAAGGGTTCTGTGGTGCCCCCTGGTGGCCAGTGTAACTAAAAGAAGTGCAGTCAAGGTCACCCAAAGTTTGCCTGACCCTGCTTTAATTAAATGCTGAGCTCTGTGAAAAACAGGTTATCTTGGAGCGAGTCTTGAAGATTCTAGTTTTCATTAAAAGCAATTATGTGGGAGATCCTTTTGCTGGAGTGAAATTAACTCCTTCTTGCAGTTTTTTCCACAAGCTGCATACAGTAGTCACTACTTTGCCACCCAAGGCTGCTGTTTTCTATCCTACAGCAAAAAAAAAAAAAAAAAAGCACCTGATTATTTTACCACTGCAACAAGTCATAACTGCTGATGGTACTACTATGATTAAAAAATTGAGTGTGGCAAGTTTTATTTAAAAGAGAAACAACAGAGGATCCAAGCACAGTTTCCTTATCTAATTGGACACTTAATTTGTCTCTAAGAAGGATGTGGATTTCTTATCTCTAAGGCTTCGATGTTTTCTATTTCTATAAAGTGTAGTGGCTTCATAGGAATATTTGTCAGGAATATCTTCTATTTACTAGTAGGGAATGTCAACTGAATCATTTGGACGCCTGGAGTCTTTGTCATCTTAATTATGCTGCCATTGTCATTTGGCTTTTGAGTAGCCCTGAGAGCCAGGATGAAGGAAAACAACACAAATAAAAATGTACCTATTTATTTATGTCTAGCAATGTCAGTCTTTGAGATTAGAACAAGAAAGTTTATGTAAAAAGAGGTTTTCTTCCCTCTGCTTTAAAATATAGTCACCTACTTAGAACTGTGAGTCAATGTCTTAAATCTGTGAATTCTACTTTATTAATTGGGGGTGTAATAATTTGTTGTATCTTTACAAATGCAAAATAGAAAATAATAACTAAAAGTGTTAACTGTGTAATACAGCATTTTTCACAGTTTTCATACTTATAGTCTCTTTTTCTCAGATTGTTCCATTAAAAAATAAAACCCTAATGTCTATAAAATAGGAAATGAGATTTTTTTTGTGAACTAGAACTTCACATTGATCATCAGTATATTCAGAATGAGCAAACAGAAGTATTGTTTTGCCAAATTTATTCTCAGCTTCTTTCTCATGATTCTGTACATTTACTTGGCCATTAAGAAATGGATCCCTCATTTCTGTTGCAAATATTTCAGCCTTTCCCAACTCAGTATGTTCCAGATGATTCAGTGATTTCTTATGACCATTCAGAAGAAACGTATCCATAGCAATGGCTGTTCAGTATTATTTTTTATAAATATCGCATATCCTCAGTAATTTCCCTCCCCCTTTATCCAATGGGCATTGAAGCTTTGATCTAGATGTTCAGAAGGAAGACATTTTTCATATAGTCTTCTAATTACTGTATTATTATTATTTGTATTATTTTTAACAGGTGACTGAGCTGGAGTGTGTGAGTAGTCAAGCAAATGCAGTCCAAACTCATAAAACAGAATTAAATCAGACAATACAAGAATTAGAAGCAACATTGAAGAAAAAGGAAGAGGTACTTGTTTGTTTTATTTACTGATTCATAAAGTAACTCTAGAAAAATGTTAATAATACAAGGATAATAAATAAGATTAAATGTTTGTTTTAGTTTGGTGTGGCTAGAGTTAATAAATTATCTATCAGGTTCAGAATGTAAGCTAAATTTGCATCAAATGTATGAACTGCACCAATACAGACAACATTCAGCCTGCAGTACATTTTCCTTAACCCAGTCCCCTTCCCACCCACAACAATTATGCTTTAGAAAAAGCTTCAGTTTTTAAGTGAAAGCAGTTTTTAAAATGCAATACTTCTAAAACATTGCAGCACCCACAAACCTAAACACACCCTCACACAAACACCCTTGCATCAACTAGGCTTTTAAAAGGCATCCTTTGATACAAAATAGAAGCTTCTTAAAATCAGCTTGCAATGCAGGGGGTCAATTTTTAGGGGGAAATTTTGGGAGGGAAGTGTTAATTCAGTCTTCCTTTCTATGAGTTTTGCAAGCTGTGCAACCTCCCCCCACCCCACCTCCCTAGTACCTTTCATGCAGGGATTACACTCTTGAGCTTAAGTGTTGCAGTGAAGAGAAAGGGAGAGTGAAAAAAAGGATGCTAAGGTAGATTTGGCTTCAGCCCTACTCATGGCTGGCAGATACCCTCTGACAGATTTCTGTAGAAGTTTCATATTCCATTGACTGCGCTAGTGCTGAATCTGATGTATGATTGAAGCATAAACTGAATGAAGTACTAATTCTGTATACAGTATCTGAGTTTAAGCTTCTTTACATGTCTACTCAAAAGTACATGGAAATGTGTATCAGTAGTATATATTACTATTATTGCTGCTCTTGATTTTTACTTTGTCAGGTTTTTCTCTGTATTGTTTTTTATATTGTTTTATTTTGTTTTTATAATATTTAACATAGTTTTACTTTTTTATGACATTTTCAAACTGACTGCATACTGCCCAGATAATTTCTGCTATTAGGCAGTATAAAAACACAATATCCTTGAATTGGTACTTAAAAATCATAACATCTTTAGACATGCATTTACAAATAAAATGATGGCCAAATAAATTAGTTTTAATTAAGGCACTTTAATCAGGAAGAAGAAAATGACCTAAGAGTTATATAGATTTAATGATATAGATGACACACACACACACACACACACAGATATAGCTATAGATATAATTTAATTGTACGTTAAGTACATGAGAAAGGGATGTATTATTTCAGGGAGTGTGAGTATGTGTATATTAACAAAAACATTTTATTGCATAGAATAGAATTGTTAATTACAAGACAGCCTACTATCATGATCCTATGGACACTAGGACTAAAAAAAGAGAACATACCAATTTTATGAAAAAAAGAGGTGGACACCTTATTGCTGAAAAATGTGAAAAAATCAAGGTTAATGAGCATGTTCTTCCCCCCCCCCCATTTTTGAGCAAGTTCATTAATTATTATTATATATTTTTGCTAGTTTATACCAAACAATATCAGGTAACTATGTTCACATAAATCCAAGATACATATAGAGAAGAAAAAATCAAAAAGAAAAAAATATAGAAAATACAATGGAGATCTATTGCAATGTGAATAAAGGGACAGGTACTATACATATGAAAATTTGCCATATATATAAAGTATACCAGATTATGATCTATTGCTTGTGACATAAACCAAAAAATCCATCCAAATTTGATAAAATTGTGGTTCCTGCCTTTGGTATCTCATTAATTTAATTTTGTGTGTAATTTTTTCTAACGTGGCAACTGAAGAGGTCTTATTAATCCATAGCTCAGTTATGTTATCTAGAGTTTTCTAATGTTGCACAATTATTTTTTTGGCTGCTAAGATTAAATAAATAATAAGTTCTTTATTTTTAAGCTTATGGTTTGGCCCTGTAAATAAATGCAGTAAGCCTAGCTCTGGGGAGCATTCAGTTCTTTGATTAGTGATAGTACTTATCTCCCTAAAGAATTTTTGCCAAAAGGGTATAACTTTATTGCATAATCTCCACAAATAAAAAAGTGACCCTCTTATTTGACAACCTCTCCAACATTTGGGAGAATGATTTATATGTGCTAGCCTAACAAGAGTGAAATACCAACGATGTATAATCTTCCACTGCATTTCTTGCATTGAAGCTGAAGTAAATCCACCCGGTTTCCATAACTTCTGTCAATTTGTCTCCTGTATGGGATTACCAAGATCAGTATCCCCAGCTTCCTTTAAACCATATGATGTATCCTCTCTTTCTGATTGCAATAATAAACTATAAATTTTTGAAATTGATCCTTTTGGTTGTTGCCTACATTATTTTTTGTTTAATTGTTTACTCTTATTTATTTAAGTCCCTCCTTTTCCCCCTTCCTCTGAACCTAAAAATTCAGAAAGAGTAATACAGTCAATATAATTACTTCTATTCCGCAGCTCAGTGCAGCATGCTTATCTAATCTTCAGCTTGCAGTTTAGCCTGCATTCCACCGTTCCAGGGTCAAGTCATAGATTACTTCCTTCATCCCTTGTTAGAGAGCTCTGCCAACCAGTTGTGCATCTCAGTCAAAGTAGAAATAATTTTTCGGTCTTGTGCCATAAAAACAATTAACTTGAAAGGGAGCCCCCATCTGTAATGAATTTCGTTCTGCATAAGATATTCTGTCAGTGGTTTGAACCCTTACTTCGCTGCAGTATAGCTACGCTGATATCTTAGAAGAAGAATATTCTCTCACTGTCCCCTTTAATCTCCTCCAGCTCATGTGATTTTCTTATAATTTTATCTTTTATATTTGAATTTACAAATCTAAGCAAAATGTCTTTAGGTTTCTGTGTGTTCCTAGGAGAGTAAACCCAGTGAATGCGTTCAATATCTATATCTGTTAAGTTCAAATCAATGTTCAGGTCGTTAATTTTACAGGTGAGATATGTAGACAGATTTCTTGTTCCAGTTTTCTCTGATA